ACAAAGAAAGGGGTAACCACCAATTGCAAAATGTCTCTGACCCCAAGCAAAGGGGAAGAAAGGCCTTCCTTTCTGTTTTCTGTCACATCACTCAGTTAATATGCTATAAAAATCTGTCAAAATTCTAACCCAGTTACACAGCTATTGGTAAGAGGACAATCTATAATCATCAGCTAGTGATTTCTTACTTTTTTTTATTTTTTTCTTTGAAAGTATGTATTATTTCTACCCATTTTCTGTTTTATTTAGTCTTCCTTTAAATAAAATTTTTTTAAAAAGACACTACAGTACCCAGTGCTGATCCCAGAGTGTCATGATGTGAAATCCAGCAATACTATTATTCCTTGTTCAGAATGATTTTATCCTGCTTTAGTTTGTTTAATTTGAACATAAATGAAGATATGGATAACTGCATGTATGTTTAAGTGTATAGGATTGACAACCATATTACTAAGTTTTTGTTGGACAGTTGAACAGAACTGTTTGCAGTCTCACTGTTTGAATTTCCAATTTATTTGCTCCACTTTTGTATCTTGAACAACTATTTATAAGAGGATAGTATGTAAACATCACCTAGTGATTTCTTACTGTTTATTTTTTCTTTGAACGTATGTATTATTTCTACCCATTTTCTGTTTTGTTTACTCTTTCTTTAAATAAAATTTAAAAAAATAAATGGTGCTGGAAAAACTGGCTCTGCACATGCTGAAGATTAAAGTTGGACCCATATCTTTCACTATATACCAAACAAATTCAGAATGGATCAAAGATCTAAATGCTAAAACAGAAACATTAAAACTGATGGAAGACAAAATAGAGAAAACTCTTGAAGACACTGGTACAGGCAAAGACTTTATGAATAAAACCACAACTGCACAGGGAACTATCACAAAGAATCAACAACTAGGATCTCACCTTATTAAAAAGTTTTTGTGCCCTAAAAGTCTGAGCCCAGAGCATCTCTTATTATTTCTTTATCTAGAGGTTTCAGGTGAGAGACCATAGACTAAATTACAAAAGCAGAACGGGACATGGTTATGCAATGGCAAGCAGAAACACTAAAATGACACCCAGGATTTGGATTTATTTACATTGACAGGCACTGATAAGGGTGAATCGCAGAATATCAGGCCCTGATCTCCAGCGGTCTAGGGCTTTTGTATGATGCACAAGCAGTCAATACAAAGGAGGTTCAAAGGCAAGACAGAATAGCCTGGCAGTTCTTCTGCTTGGATAGCAGGGTGAGACCATCAGTTACAAGGGTAGCTTAATGATCATCAGTCTGTGAAGCTTGGTACAGTGTAGAATAAGGCATCCTATATGCTTGGTTACACTCTTGTCTTTACAAGGGTCAAGAATTAATTTTGTAATAAACAAAGCCACAAAAACAGTTATAGAGCTAGGCAGTTTCAAAAGAACAAAATTTTAAAAAGAACAATTTCTCAGGTAGTTTTCCTCTCTCAGTTTCTCTCTCATGTCGTTCTTAGCCAGCCATTTCAGTTTTAAGTTTCAGTCTCCCAAAGTTTTGTTCTCTGCATCATTTCCTCCCTTTGATCCCCTGCACAGTCCAATAGGGCATCACCATCTCCCATGGCACGGGTGCAGTGCCATGAACCGGGCAATGGCACTCCTAGTGACTGTGCTCTCTTTGAATCTCATCAGGTGCTCAGGAGACATGGCCCTATGGTCACAAGTAACAGGATGGTCAGCAGTAGGTGCAGGAACCATGATGTCCATTGTCCTGGGATCCAATTCCAGCCTTCTAGGTTTTCCTTTCTCCACTAGATCCTACCCCTCAATTTCCTGACCTTTGTAGTGATCACCCCTGACTGGTTTACTGGAGCATTTTTCTCCTGGGGATTTTACATGTATCGCCCATCTCTGTGGGAACAAGGTTGAGGGCTTACCTCTTTTAGAGGGTTACAGCTGCTGACGAATTAATCTGGCTTCATAGGGGAGGATGGTGAACCAGCCAACACCGATTAGTTCCTGAGACAGCCAATAAGATTTCTCCTGAACTGTCCTCAAGCCTGGTGGCTATTCCTCAGCCAATTAAAACTGAGGCTAATGATGCTCTTTTCCCATGTGAGTTGCCACCAGCAAGGTCATCGACATCTCGAGTCTGTATAGATGGAGGTTTCAGGAGTGAGGAAACCTGGACACAGTGCCTGCCCAGTGTACCTGCAGGCAATGATAAGCTGTGTTCTCACAAAAGTAGGACACTCGAGGGGGGATTAGGCATGATTACTTGGCAGCATCTGTTTGTGGGAGCAAATGGAGTAGGGTATGGATCCTAGGGACCCATGTTTTGGACCAGTCTGAGGACCATGAAGGCACCTTGCAGTGGCCCTAGAGCAGTCAAGGAAGACCTTGCCAGCCATTGGCTCTATAAAAGCACTAACATTTCATTCTGAGGGCTTTCTTGGGAGGCTTAATTGACTGAACTGGCGTTTTCATATAGGCCTTTCTGTGGAGGGGCAGGTACAGCCAACAGAACTGGGGTCCCATGCTGTGAAGCAGGCAAAAGGTGGCATTTAGGAAACTGTAAAACTCAGGGGTGGGGCTGCTAAACTGGTTCAGCCAGTTTACACCAGTAGCTCTGTTGTTCTCACCCCAAGTCTGTGGGCTGTTTCAGAACCTCCTTCACTTGTGTCTTGTGTGTCCTGTCTTGTCCCCACCCCCTGGATATGCCTTCATAGGTCACCTAGGACCAACTGGTGATTTTTCCATATTGGTTGTAACAATTTGACCCTAGGCTTGAGATTTGTCCAGACCAGAAAACTGTGCCCTGGTAATCTCTTTGAATCCACTTCATATGTTCTATATTTTTAAATATTCTTAAATAAATGGTTCTTTCCGTTGTTTCGAGTTCCTCTCTTCTTCTGTCTGTGTCTGCTTGAGGGGTGCTTAGTATCTTTTTTATTAATCTTCTTATATCTTGCTTTACTTGGCTAAATATTTCACTTTTGAACTAGTCTATGAGGTCCCAAATATATCTGTTTTGTGTCCACTGGCAGTGTGTCTCATATTGCATGTTTGCTGTTCTCATTCTCCTTTGTATTTACCTGCCCTCGGTCAATGTTCTCAGGGTTGAGACCTGGGGCCTTTTTGTTGTTGCTTTCTCTTCCCATCTTTTTTTTTTTCTTCCAGAAGACTGAGTTTCTTTCTTTGTCAGTTACAATTCTTCTGAAGCATGCTGGCTAGATGACCTTTCCCACTGCTGTGTGCTAGTGAGTTGCAGACAGGGACAGTGTATGCTGGCCCCTCCCCTCCGGATCAGTCAAGCTGCTGTGGCCTGCACTGTATTACTTTGTGCTGCCTTCATTCTGGGTCAGTCAAGCTGCTCTGGCCTGCACTTATTAATTGGCGCCCCTTCCCCTCTGCTTTGGTCAAACTTCTGAGGCTTCACTGGGTTAATGTGGTTAGTCTGCACCACTGCTGTAGGGACTTGATTTCGCATAACCTAATGGGTCTCAGCCAGGTCACATGACCCAGGCCTAGCTCACTCCACCAATCCCGTTCAGGAAGAGAACAACTGACTGAAGTCACTGCTGCCCCTTATACTTGCCAGTCCTGCCCGGTCCCAGAATGTCGTCCTCTGGGGCCCACCTTTCTGTGGAATGGCTCCATTCCCATCACTCACCACAAGTCAATGTAGGCACCTTGCCAACTCACCTCTCTGTTTGGCTTGCCAACCCCCAAACTCTGTGTAACTGCACCTCCAGTGAGTCAAAGCGGCAGGACCTCGGACGGCTTGGCAAGTCATGGCCCGACCTCAGCAAGTCACGCCAGGACCTCAGCAAGTCGCTGTGAGACCTAGGATGGTTGGCAAGTTGCCCACTGTGTTGGGAACACTGAACTTTTAGCTATTCCAGTAATAGCACTGGAACTGTATGTAGGGTTGGTTCTTCTCACCTTAATTTCTTCTTGGGATGAGAGAATTCATCTTATGTTCAGGCCTCCCTATGCTGTATTATGTTGAATTCTAAGTTGACTCTCTCAGGGAGCCTCTGTAGCCAGCCGTTATCTGTCTGCCATGTTTGCTCCTCCACTCAATTGTTTTATTGATTACACTGAATTATCTATCTGTATTCTCTTATGGCTTTGAATATCATTCCATTTCAGGGAATTCATGAATTTTCATTTCTTTGGAGTCAATTATTAGAGAATACATAAAATGCTATAATCATCAGTCATCTGATTACCTAACCTCAATCTTCCTACTGACTTGCTCACAGAGCTTTCCAAGAAAACTGAAATCTACACAGAGACACCACCCAAAGACATTCTTGGTAGACTAGTAGGTAACAGTTTCTAAGACTATGGATAGATACCTTCTGTCTTACGTGGAATCTTCTAGCAGTTTAGGTCACTCTGTAAGCTTGATGGACTCTGTGATCACTTCACAGTGTGTTTGGGGGAAGTAAATCAAATAGGTCACAGTTCCTCATAGAACTCTGTGTAAAGTAGAGAAGATACCACAGAGGAACTGAAATCAAGTGAGAAAGAGACTCCACAGGAAGTAGGAGTCTCTGGAAGTAGAGAAGTAACACATTTGATCACTCAAAAGTGTACAGGAGATTGGTATGACATTTCTCTTCATCTGTGCAAGAGCTGCTAAAGCCAGTTTAATTTAATATTTAGGGAATATGGTGGCCAACCAGATGGAGGACTTGGGAATGCTCAGGCGGCTGACGTGCGGGTATTGCATGCATAGTGTGCATAGAGTGAGCACTTAGCACATTCTGAAATTCCTCTGCTTGGAAGGGAACTGTTGAGATGTGGTGAGTGAAGCAACATGTACAGTACCTCAGGGGATGGACAGGGTTTAGGGCTATGTTGACAATTAATCTCTACTCTGAGGATATCAGTGATATGCCCACATAGACATATCAGTGTGAACTCAAGCACATGCCTAGTCATAAATATATAAGCTTGTGTAATGGGTTTGTTTGAGATCTTCTTTCATTATATTTTAAATGACCACAAAGACAAAATAGTTTGGAAACATGAATATTTACTATCATGAATATCAGTGCCAAAGAGACTGGACTCAAGCGATCCACCTTGAATCAAAGGCACCTACATGTTTTCCTCTCTTTTTAGGGAAGAGTTGCAGTGATTACACTTGCATGGATTTTTTGGACTTGTCCCTCTGTAGTTCCAGTAGTTCATTCTCCAGGGACAGCTTGTATACCTCCAGGGCTAATTTCACCTCCTCCACGCTCGGCAGGCACTGCATGAGCTTCCTGCCTGCGACCACTTGCTCGCAGCCTTTGGGGACCTCCTAAAAAAGACACAGTTGAAGGTATGGTTGGTTCTCTGCAGTCAGGGAGGAGATGCATCCTGACAAGAGAATGAATATAGATTGGGACCAAGGCCAGCTCTGACTGTGGTTAAACAGGGAAAACCAGAAGCCCTGTTGGGCTCTGGCAAAGTTTTCCTCAGAAGACACAAGTGTGTTCTCAGACAGCAGCCTAAATAAAGGTGGATGAGGACATTTCTGCTGACCACCCAGAAAGTGGGACGACCGTATGTTACATGGTTTAGAAAAAATATTTAGGAGTTTGTACTCCTAGATCTATGGGACCCAGGTCTCCAATGTACTCAGTTTTGTCTGTTCTTGAGGAGATGGAAATTTCTACTTCAACCTAGCTAAGCAGAATGGGTCAAGAGAAAAAGAAAGCTTCTTTGAGTGAGTCAGAAATGATTCTTGACAAATCACGGGTCACTATTTGTCACTGGGACAGAGCTTTGTAGGGGAGCCCCTCGTCTGACAGTACAGAACTGCCTGAGTTGTGTCACTCACCCAGTCACACTTGGGCACCTCTGGGGACCAGGTTCTATTTTGAGAGCAAGTGATACTTTGGGAACCCACTAGGCCAAAGCCAGAGTCACAAAAGATGGTGACGTTCTCAGATTCAGTATACCAAGGCTTATTCACAGACAGCTTTCCGTTTTTTATCTTTGGCTTCAGACAAAGAGCTACAATGGAAACATATGTTAAGCAAATTATAAAACTGAGAAAAAAGACACAATAACAGTCTAAAATAATAAGAATGAGTTATATTTAGGGGGTGCTTATTATATCTTTTGTTTCATTTTGATAGCAATATTTTTAAGGATGAATACCTATCCGATTTCAGATTAGCCTTTTATGTGGCTATCTTATTTAATTTCACAATAACACTATAAAATAAATTGTCATTATTATTCCCATTGAAATGGAAGAAACTTGAAATAAAGAAAGAAACTTGTGAATGTCATAAAGGTTTTCAATAAAGGAATGAAATGTGCATAAATACACAGGTCCACAGATTCTTAGCCATCATAGTAAATAGCCCTTGCACACTCAACCATAACTCTTCCTGTCTCCTTAACAGGCTGCAGATTAAAAGTCCTTCTCACATCCACCCACACCGTGGCAGGTGCTGCTCTACACATGACTCTGAGGGAAAACCTGTCACTTTGGGAACACTGTAATTAGCTGAGGAGCTCCTATATCACCCCTGTTGCTAGATGATGCTAGAACAAGTTTTCTTGAGAATTTTACATAGGTCTACTGGTACACATGTATGAAATGCTATGCCCATAAAATATATTAGAACACAAAAACAAGAAACTAGGAACAGGGCTGACTTCAGAAGGCTGAATTCCATGATTGAGAGAAACTGGAGGAAGGTCATATTTATCTACATTCTTTGTATTTTTTGCATGGGATACCATCAGCATATATTAATTATTTAAACAAAACACAATGAGATCAATTGTTTTTTGTACTGACTCTGGCAGGGAAGAACACTGCTCTGGATCCTCTTATGACAGTTTCACCCCTTCGTCATGGGATGAAAAAGGAGCAAAGTTACCTTTGCATTGGGGAGCTTCAGGTGACCAGTGTGAATAACCGCAGGTGAGTCTTGCTTGTCCAACCAGACTGTACCCTTCATCACATTCGTATGCAACCTCGGGTTTGAAAATACTGTATGTATTGATGCGTTTATGATGTCCGTGGGCAATTCTAGGAGGCAAAGGGCAACCTTGATGATAAGACATAAAAATGAGAGAGTGACTTGTAGAACATATGAAGAAGCACAGCCCAGGATTTATACAGTGTGTAGAAAGCTCTGTTCTGTCTGTTCATCTTCTCTGTCCTTAAGATCACTCGTGCTGCCTGTCTACCAGCTTTGAAGTGAGGAGCTGTGGCTTTCTTTCACTTCACTGACAAGTACATTCAACTTTATCTGGATATTTTTTAATGAAGGCTGAATTCATCCTTAGATTACATCATATGAGCAGTAAGCTTAATTTCAAACCAAATGCAAAGATGTACATTTGGGTTTTTTTTTTTTTTGTTTTTTGTCTTTTTCCTTTTTATAGGTACCAGGAATCAAACTCACGACTGCCTGCTTCCAAGGCAGGCGCTTATGCCACTGAGCTAAATCCCCAGCCCCAAGATGTGCATTTGTGAGAAACTAAAAGCTGTGAACTCACTCCATTATCTCTGAGCCTTTGCTCTCAAGTCAAAAAGATCCACCCATCTCCACCAACAAAATATCACACTGCAGAATATTTTAGAAGGAAACTCATAGGAAGAACAGAAACAGTGACTGGCACATTGAAGCAAGAAATAAGAATCAGAACACCTCTCTGAATGAGACCATGCCATGGCCCATAAGCACTGCATTAGATATGTAAACAGAGCAGAGCAGAATGTCAGACATGGTACCAAACTAATGTAAAATTTCTTCTTATAGCTGGAACTAAGCATCAGCTGTTTCCCAAGCACATATTTACTAAAATTACAAGTTAAAAATATTTTTCCACTTGTGAGTAATTAGAAACATTTCTTTTAGCCCTTCTAATGGATACTTCAAACTTAACTATCAGTTTCTTACAGAAATTCTCATTATAAGATAATCAAGCAATTTGTCCTAAATATGTCAGACACATGTCCAGTCTGACACTGTAGGTAGATGACATGAATGTGCTCATATCATCTACCTACAATGCCACCGTTTTTTTTGGCTGCTGATCAAGGTCCATTTGCACTAAGATTTCTGTTACTTCTCAGCAAGTAGGCATCATTTATCTCTCAAGACCTTACATCAGTTATTAGGAAGAAATTATATATCATAGACAACTATTTATTGATATATTAGTATGACTTATACACTGTATGCCACGTGATATATATATATATATATATATATATATTCTTTTATAAATGTATGGCATATATGTTATTTATATTTTACCTATGCATTTTAAAATATACTATTTCTGTTATATATTTAAATATGCAATATGTATTAGATACATTTTATGGCAATATCTGTATCATGTGATATATATATACAGCATATTTCTAAACAGTTTTAGATATTTCTAATAATATGTGTGCAGGTATGGATATGTGTGCATACAGTGTAACTATTGGACATAGTATACCTATAATCCAGCTACTTTATATGCATTTCTCCTCCCAGCTACCATAAGAGGACTAAGAGATACACATTATCATCTTCCCCACTTTTTAGAGATGAAAACAGACAAATTCAGTCTCTTTCTCCAGCTGAAGCAACTACTGAGAGGCAGAACTGAAGTCTAGTTTACTCAAAATCCCATATTCATTATGGCTTTGATCTATATTCTCCAAGTGCTATTTAATAGTCAACTTATACTACCTGAATTTATAATTCATTTTGTTTTAAATGCAGCAAATATATGTCAGTATATCTGTTTTTGACATCGTGGGTCCACAAAAATGCCAACCTTTGTATGAATTTGTTTATGGGTGGACTTTCCTAAATATCAAATGAAATACATTCATGAGGAAAATGCTTTTTTTGAATTGGCCCATAAATATTTTTATAATTTATCCCTCTCATGCTCAGCAGACAAGGAGCCATGTCCTTGTAACATGGTAAGAAACCTAATACCTGATCATGGGAAGAGTAAAACTACAGTACTGTTCAGTTTAAACTCGTGCAAGAGACAAGGGACACCAAGAAGGAGGAAAGAGGAGTGAGACAGAATCAAGGGAGAAAGGGAGAAGATAGCATCTTTTCGAGGAGACTGGAAGTATATTCTGAGGTTTAGAAAACATCCGTGTAAGCAGCTGAGATACTGGCAGGTTTTTCATGTTGGGGTAACAGTTTGAGCAAAGGAGAAGAAACAGGAAGTTGATATTTGTAGATAAAAAAGAACTCAACTCAGAAACCTGTCCAAATTAATTTAGAAATGCTTTATCAAGCAGGGTGGAGAATATGGACCACAGTGAGGTGGGTTTGAGGGTTTGGAAGAGGGAACACATGCAGAGGAACCAAAAGGAATCAGGACAGTACCTAGTGGTTTGCTGGACAACCCACCTACCCTATCTCAAGAAAGAAGAGGAGCCCTGGCAGATTAGGCTAATGAGTGCACAGGAAAAGATGGGGGCTGTGGGAGGATAATAGGGTGGTGGTTTCCATTCTCAAGAGAGCTGAAACACCCAAGTTGAAGGAATCCTATTACCCAACATTTTAAAATATGCTTTCAAACATTCCTTTTAAAATATCCATTATTAGAATGTATAAGAATTCTAAAGTAAAATACTGTAGTAAAACAACTCTGAAATCACTCTGCAATATTAAAAAAATTCCAAGTCTGAACAACTTTGGGTCATTCTGGGGCCTTAGAAATTAGTCTTCACAAATTCCCTCAATGTTTTTAACCAAGATGACAAAGTTACATCATGCTTGGCATAGAATCAGTTCTTCTGTCATCAGAGTTGGATATTGATTGAATATGGAACAAAACCTACATAGAAATCAACAAAGCTATTGGTGCATATTTCTTCCTTTTGAGTTGATTTTGAATTCTGTACAGAAGGTTCTACTTTACTCTGAAAGACAGTACAGATGATATGTATGTAAATATTTCTAACAGTCTTAGAGAATTCTTCTCATAGAAAGAAATCATGTCAGAATAAAAATGCTATTTAAAATTAACATAATTACATATGTATTAATGAGCAGCCTGAGTCCAGTGGGAGCCTCAGGTCCTCACAAACACATTGATTAGGAATAATTATCCTCTAATGACAGTGCCATACCTCACAGTTACACAGTATTTTCAGTTTACACAGAGATTTGCAGTTTTATTCCAATAATTCATTCCTTTTTTATAACATTGTAAAATCTTACTATATCAAAGGCAAGTGTGTACTCAATCATTAATGCAATAGGAAAAAAATAACCTCACAAAAGAATTACTTAGAAGTATTCGTTTAAGTATTACACAATAACCAAATAAATAGGTTGATTTTTTGCTAGATCAATTCCTCAAGGGTTTATAATATTTAGCTTTGCAACTACTTATAGCCTATTTTGGAAGAACTAAAACTATTTAGATATTTCTTTAAAATGTGTTTCATTTCTGTAAAACTGTGTTGAATTATGAACATCTGATCAATTCTCAGACAAGTGTTCTTCTCCCTACCTTGGTCTGAACCTTCATCTCTTTACACACCTTTGTACTCACCACACAGGACAGGTGGACACCACATTGAAGACAAGACTCCGAGAAGCCACAGTGCTGGTAAAATTCTCTGCAGTTTGCGGGGCATGATGCAGAAAGTTGGAGAGAGAGCGCACTGGGGCTCAGCCTTCTCAGAAGCCCTGAATCAGGCTAAAGTTGAAGCTCCAAATCACAAGTAATCTGATGTCTGAACCAAAAAGCTGAGTCTTGACAAGGTTATAGTGATGAGTCACGAGATGGGAGGGCTAGTGTTCAGTAGACCAGGTCAGGATAAGCCGACACAGGTCATCCAGTAAAGCTCCAAGTCTAGGGGAGAAGGACATGAGTGTGCAAGAGTACACACTAGAGATTGTAACTGTTAATCATAACTTACGGATTTCCTTGCTTGTTTTCTCTCATGACAACACAGGTACTTGTTGATCTGTTATCTCCACGTACACTGTGTTTCTTGGTCTGTGGAGCACGTTCTTCAGAGATACCATGGTCAGGCTGCACTGTCTCCTGCTGGTAGCAGTCCTCAGTCACTAGTGTGACTGCCTCGTAGGACACTGGGGTAAAAAACCTTCAAGTGAATTTTCATAGTTCTCAGCTTAATTGAACTAGAAGAAGTGCACACACCCAATCATGAAAAGACAAAAGTGCAGGCCAAACAATTGCTTGCAACATTTACCTTTTCTTGATTTGTGACACTAAATTAATTAATTTTGGGACTCTGAAGCTAGAAAGTAAAAATAAGATTCTCAAAGTGGTGTTTCCAATGCAGATAAATCATTCATGGGAAAATAAATGGTAGAGTACAAAGCCTTATTAATGAACAAAGTTTCATGGTAACTTTAAGAGACTTTTTCAGTGGGAGTGGGTCAGACTGAAGGAGCTTCCATCTCAGCATTACATTTTTGACAAAAGGACTAAGAATGAAATTATAGAAGGATATTTGTTAGCCGCAGGCTCAGTTCATGGCTCTCTAAATAAAGCCTGGCCCACTAATACTTATCTGGATCTAATGTGAACATTGTTTACTTTCGTCTTCGTGAAGCATAAGAGTAAATTATCGATCCGTAATTTCACGTTCTGCCACTTGGACCAGTTGTAGATATTTGATAATTGAAGAGAGATGTTCATCCAAAAATGACAGTGGCATTTTAAAAGTGTCTCAAAGTGAACTCCACCCCCAAGCTGAACTGACATGAGCACAACAAGTACACAAGTGCTTAGCTCTCGGAAATAAGGAGGAACATTCTCCGGATGAGTGAACTCAGCAATATCGATGACAATGCAATTAAGTTTTACGCTTTCTACAGAGAAAGGAAATCAAATAAATGTATAATGTGGTTGTTTTATTTTATAAAGAAGAAGTAAGATAAATCTCAGCACGTGAGAGAATCCTTTAAAATAATTTTAAATAGTATCATTTTAGAAATGTAGACTCTGATTAATCACGTTCCAAACTTTTACATACAATATTGTATGTAATTTCTTGAAGTAAAATTACAATGTGGGTATTATTAGCCACATTTTGCAGATAATGAAACTAGTTCAGAAAGACTGAGTACATGTCCTGATATCTTTTTTATCAATGGCTAAGGTTCTGAACTGAAGTCTGAATCAGGTTCCAAGCTCTTCTCATGATCACAATGACTAATTTTCATTGAACAAAGTAGACAAGGGTTTCTTGTGTGAGACCCTGAGTCTATCACATAGGAGAATGTACCTAGAAACTTTTTGCTTATACTGTGGTGGAAAAGACCACAAACTTGTTTCTCTCTCCAGAGACCAAGTATCATATGATTTACCATAGATCATGAGATTAAGTGTCTTAGTCTCCCTATACATAAAGAAGAGTTTAAAACTACAGTGATTACTCTGATACTTTCTGAAAAGGTTTTGGCCCAGGCTGGATACTTGGCTGGTAAAGCCAAGGAGCTCCTATCTCCCCCCACCCTTAGGAATTACCTCTGGCACCAAACTAAGACCAATGGGCTACCTGTGCATCCCTAATGCCCCCTTAGGTTCCACCCCAGGCCAAGGCTACTTATGTGCCTCACTCCACATGTTCCACAGAGAGATCACCGGCCCCGGGGTGGAGATGCCAAGCCCCAGGGGGTCAGGGGTGTCTCTCCCCGCATTCCCAAAATAAAGGTTATTTATATTTCATACTTCTTATCTTTTCAGCCACCACTGGTCCTCCTCCTCTTCCTCCCCTCCACAGTTCTATCAGATGGTGCTGTGACCGGGAACAGCAGACGAGAGACTCCTGGGGCTGGTTCCCAGTTTTGAGTCCCCTGCTGTTCAGGACCCACCGGACTGCATCCTATAATTCCTCACTTCTACACTCTGGAATTGTAAGCTTGACTGCTGGTTCTCAAACAACACCCACCAATTTACCACAGGTGAGCAACTCCCCGGAGAAAGCCACTGAGCCAGGCTCACGTGGATTTTCTCCCCTCTTTGTGTGGGTTCGAGACCCTTTCATGTCTTTTAGACAGCCCAAAGCTAGGCCTTTCTAGACAAGCCGATCTCCACTTTAGACAGCCCACACTAAAAGGCCCTCACGTTTTCCCAGAGCTTTTGGGGCTTTCTGGGCAAGCTGATGTCCACCCTGAGCAGCCCACACTGGGAGGCCCTCACTTTAAAGCTTTTTATATAGCCAATCCGTCAGTCTGGGGTAGTGTGACGACTCTAAATCCTGACAGACCACGGTCCGTTGCCTCATCTGATTGTAGCCCCATGGGCTAGACCCCACACCAGATTTTATCTCGGAGACTACTTCCTGTCCCCCCGCAGAAGCCATACCTACTTATGGCTTATTACACTGCGGACAAGCTTACAAAACTCTCTTATCTTTGTTTTGGGAATGTGCCTTTTTCCCGCCAGCTTCCCTGTCCCTTTGTCTACTCCAGGATCCCTCCCCTTCCCCACACTTAAAGAGATAACAGCTCTCCCCTGGCAGTCTTTCTGAGTTTTTCTCAGTGCCTCCTTTTCTCCCGCTAACCCTCCCCCCAACCTCGCTGCCAGCTTCCTTTTGTTTCCCATGCCCACCAACCCATCCCCCACCGCTGAGATTAAAATGAGACCAGACAATAAGAGATTCACATAAAACTGCTTTAGATTTTAAGCAGCTTTTTTTTCTTTTCGCTCTCACACTGTGCTCCAATTCTGTGCGTCCCACAGTTTCAGCTCCACATCCAACCTGTTCCATGCCGCGCTGGCTCATTTGTGCTTGTGCTGGCCCATTCTGCCACTGAGAGATACGCGCGGGACTGTCCGCACCCTGGGTTCAGCTTTTGGCGCCGTGTCCTGGGCCACGTGTCCCTTGCGAGTGTGTGTGGCTCCTACAGGTTGCAGTTTGCTGGCTGCCAGTCGTGCGCCTCTGGGAGCAGAGCTACATTTGGCCACACCTGCCCCTGCCCCCGCAGCCCTTCGCGCCGGGCACACTGCCGGCATCCCTCCGCGGCACCGGGCACGCGCTGCTGCTGACCCTCCGCGCTACCCACGCCCTCAGTGGCGCTGGGCCACGACCCCCTCCTCTCGCCACCACTGCAGGCCTCCAAGCCCCACCCCCCCATGTGCAGTCGCAGCTGAAATACATGTTTCCCTGCACTGTCCTAACGCCATCATAGCAGCTTCTAGGTGGGATCTCTGCCCGCCCCTGCGTGCTATGTCCCAGCGCTCACCCCGCCCACTCTGCGTGTTCCATGTCAGCCTGCCCCTGTTCGCTGTGTGGTGGCACTCACCCCACCCCAAGCACAACTACACTCTCTCCCTACAGGCACGATCTGTCTATCAGAGTTTCAAGCTGCCTTAAACACTGCGCATTTCCAACGTCTCGTGGCTCCGCTCAAACATTTTTTTTTTTACAATTCAGTTCCACTCAAGAGAGGCTATTTTTTTCTTACAATTTTTCTACCATTTATTCAAGGTTACTGGCCACCTGATAATTTTAACAGCCTTGTTTATCAATCAAAGTCTACACTAATCTCATGTTTTGACCACTAAAATTAAGAGATTTATCAATTCCTTTTTGCTGGAAACCACTAGCTCTGTTCCAAGACAAGGGTTTTGTTAAAAAATTCTAATATTGTCCACCACCAGTAATGTTCTCTGTTAAATTCATTGCTCCTACTGTACTGTGTTGTCGCCAATCTCCTGTTTTACCACTGGGTTATATAAATTTATTCATAAGATTGATAAACCTTTACTGCAAAATGTTTCCATTAAAGCCTTTTTTTGTTAATTCCACATGGCACCCTATAAAAAGTGATATAACATCCAGATAAAGTCTGCTTTATAATCTTAAATGCCAATATTAAGCTCCTACATACTTAATTCTACAGATAGCTTTTACTATAGTCTAGATCTCAAACAACAAGGCAAAAATTGACCTTCAGGCTCCACAGAGACCTTGATATGGTTTTTCATATTTTAAATAACACTTGCAGTTCTGAGACAGACAAATCTACACAAGGTAAAGCTACCTGCCCCCCCCCCACCATGGAAAACACTCAAATGCAGCAGAAGACATTGGGCAAAAAATGCCCCATCCTGGTGTTCTTTGAGACCTTACTCCAGGGCTGTTGGGCTATCCTGACCACCAGAGAGTGGGTGGGCCATCCTAACTTCTAGCCCTCACAGGTCACTGCCAGATTCGTCACTGACAAAAATTGCTGCCTGAGACTGACAGGGGCTAAGGGCCAATGACAACTGCCTTTGTGGGTGTCTGTCTCAGAGTCCAAGTCACATTAAAACTCTCAAGGTAAGACATTCTCTATATTCGTGGACATAAGAGGCCATATATACAGAGTTCTTACTGAATTTTCAGGCTAATAAATCCTCAATGTCTCACAGAATATTAAAGGTCAACCTATGCCAGTTACAAACAGGGCCTATTTTTATGCAGGTCCCAGTCCTAACTCTTAAAATGCTTTTATTCCCTTTTATACAGGCTGACAGATACATTTTGTTTTCTCACTTTGTTTATACTTTTTCAGGATACATAAAGGCCTTTCTCACAACCAGGGAAACTGCTGATATACTTGCTAAAGTTCTGTTACAACAAAACTATTCCAGGACTACAACCAGGTCACAGCGACCCATACCTGATATTCTTGGTAACCTCAACAGCAATCAAAGTTGCTAGACTGCCATCCTGGTTTCACATCACACAGGCCCTAAATCTAACCATCCTTTTGGTACTCATCTCTGCCTTACGACTCACAGGTGGTCATGTTTTGTTATCTACTTTGGTTCTTAATTTCTTACATTCTATTAATGATCATTTTTACAGCAGGACTCTTTAACAGGATTGCCTACAGACTCTAACGTCATATATACCAGAGACAAGCCTTACCTACCTTTTAACTTTTATGCTTTCATATGGGGGAATAAGCACCTCTCATAACTTCACTCCTCCTAATCCCACATTTAATTTTTCAGAATTCTGCCTTGCCATAAAAATGTTCCTACCTCAATGTCATCCTGATAGAATAACATATCTAAATCAAAGATACCTTTCCCTCTACC